AAACCTACGCAAATCCGTTGGTCGTTGCGGTCCGTTTTCTGCTGCCGGCCGGCGAGTCGGGTGCGGCGGCGACCGGTTGCAGCTGCAGCGTTTGCGCGGGCGTCGTCTGTGCCGTTTGCGCGGCGGTGGYGTCGGCGTCGGCCATTTCCGATTCCGGCCTTTGCGATGTCGTCATCGACGTCGTCGTCGTCGGAGGTTCGCCTTTGCTGCAGGCGATCGAACAGAAGATGGCCCCGCGACGGGGCAAGAACGGTCTGCCGAGCAGCGACGATCTGCATGTGTGACAGCAGAAACACTGTTCRGTGGCGTGCCAGTGTTGTCCTTCGTGACTCATTTGTCCTGTGAAAAMATAAAWGTGACAAAATTATAATTTATAACATTACGTATAGGTACGAAATAAGAGCTTGTAAAACATAATGTATACGAGGTACTGGTGGTCATAATAATCATCAGATAGTGTATATGATTTAATAATATTAGTGGCATCATATACGTTGGATGAGTCCATTTATATCCAACCCGCAGGCAGCGACCCGACATCAATTTTTACCCGTCCTTAAATTGAGTGGGACGTAGTTTTCGGTAATTTTTTTTATAAGATTTTCTCCGACATTATTTATTATTTTGATATATTATGATATCTATATTATTATTATATGGTTTATATGAGATGGGATAACGAAAGCTGTAGTAATTTTCATGAATATATTATTTTATTCCAACTTCCCCCATATACCTAATATATCCGTCATGTCAACTAAACTTGCATTTTTGTATTTCCTAGTGATGTACAGTTTGGATTTTAGAATGTCTAAAATAAGTTTCATAAGTCATAATATTATGTCGAAAGGTGAAGTGTTCATGGATTTTTTTGGAAATTAATTTTTCAACGCATAATCGCGTGAATTACTAAGTCGAAACATCAATTTATGTTGATGGTAATATACATGAGATACCTGCGGACATCATAGGTAATACCGGGTATACCAGTCTTCACATAAAGCCTATAACCAAAAAGGTAAAAACTATATTATATATTAATACATTGTCAGAGTTATGTTTGTATAATATTTGCATTTTCAATGTTYACGCAACGCTCGATTTTTTATGTAAACTTTTTTTTTATGTTCAAATAAGCTTGCAGTAAAAATATTATGAAATTGTCCCGACTGTTTAAAACTTTAAAAGGTATCGCGTAAAACGATTCACGCCACCAACTTTGTGATATTAAATGTACATATATTTTGTGCCTTACTAAGAATAATCTACAACGTTTCATTGATTCAGTTCAATTAGTTATGTTGTAAATTAATAAAAAATTGTAAATCTGCTAAAATATTATATAGAGAAATGAATGATTAGACTTTCGAACCGAATCCAGATCAACTTGTGTAGTGATGGTCTGTACCTCAATATCAACATGTCAACTCCCTCTGACTTTATAGATGAATTAATTAATATACCACTATTATACTATATGTTAAACTATATTGTATAGTTATGTAATATTAAGCAAAATGTATAATATTATTCACGTATAATAATACACACAATAGTCAATAATATTACATTAGATCCATAATAATATATGTGACGTGTTCAATGTATATGTCCTCATAAATCATTTTCAGTAATTTAATTAACGCACATTGTCATTATAGTATTTGACATCATTTAATCGATTATTCGTGTTTGGCGTACAGTCCCACYAAAATAATATCATAAATATATTTTATTTGTTGTGTTGACAATTATCATAATTATTTTCTATACTCTGGTCCGTGCTTTCGCCACTTTAATATACCGGCCGATACGCCA